GTTTTGTGATATGTCATGTTTAAATTAATTTCATGTGTTTTTATTTAAATTTGATTCTCTTTATAGTTTTAATTAATATTTAAATTATAATGAAGTCAAGTTTTTAGTTGTTATTGTACAAAACAACGAATTAAAAAAACTATCGAATTTTTATTTTGTTAAATGTTTTTAATAAAGATTTAATTCGTCATTTTAAAATACAATTTGGGTATGAAATTAATTTTTCGTGTTTAATAAACCAAAATAATTTATGATTTTGAAATAAGGAAATTGTAGTGTAAGTTGAAAAATATAAATTGAAAAAAAAGACGCAAAAAATCGAAATAAGGGAAAATAATGATAAGTAAAACAGGTATAATTTTCGACAAAATATATTAATATCCCGAAAAACAAAAGAAAAAAATACTGTTATAACGTGTCGGACTTTGTGGCCCAAGTTTATCATATAATCTTGATTTCATGCCATTTTGTGCGACATATCTCCACAGACATTGTCCACAATGAAAATAACAACCTTTAATAGTCGTTTTTGTTAAAGTGTTCATAACCACAAAAACTGTAACTTCATAATCTATCATTGTTATTGTATTATTGCCAAATAATTCAATACCATTATCTATTCCAAAATTAAGAATTATTTTTAACATGTCAGTGTATGTTTCTTTGTTTTTACTTTTCAATAAACAATGAAATAGTCTAAAACATTCCAAGTTTTTCAATTGTATGTGTACAGTATAAGTTTGATAATAACCACAAGGAGTTGACTTGAATGTGCCGTACATCAAATAGTTATCTATATATTAGTTTTTCAATTGTAAATATTTCGTTTTATTACAAAAAACTGAACAATTTGAAATTAAACCTACAAAATAATTGATATAATTAGAGTGTTCAGTTATTGAACAATTGGGTTTTGTTTTCTTGTTATTTTCTTTTCTATATAATTTCATTACCAAAGACATTCTGGAAGGGTATTTGGAATAGTCAAACGTTATCATAGCTTCTCCAGGAATTGTTGTTCTTGGAGTTTTTTTAGCAAAACATTTTATTTCTTTAATACTGTTTAATTTGTCACAAAGTTTCGTATGTGTGTGGTTGTGTTGATCCGTTGTATGATACCTAAACTGTTTATATTTCAACATACCATCTTCTTCTATTGTTTTGGTAATAAGAATTGAGCATTTGCAACCGTTATGATACTGTGAACACTTAAAAATATTTGTACTGTTTCCAGAACGATAAAAAGGAATGCCCCCAATAACGGGGAGTGAATGATTTTTACTACTCGTGATTGTTGATATATCTTCCGAAAATGGAAATGATTCAATTCGGGGTTTTTGAAGATTAATTGGAGATAGCTGAGTTTCATAATGTTTGTTACATTCATTAGATAATTGTAATGGACAAAACTTAGTTGAAGTGTTATTAATAGAAGGGAGAATATTTTGAAAACTTGGGTGTATATAATTTTGAGTACAACTTGTAGGCAAACGACTTCACATATCATAACAGGGTACAAATAAAGGAGTGTTACAATTGAAAAAATGCTCAGATTGTGTTGAATATGCATATGGAAATTGACTGTAGCATGGAAAGTGTGTGTAATTAATTTGATAAGGAATATTGCTTAATTTGTAAAATCCAGAAGGTGTATTATTTGCGCTACTCATTAATGGTAATTAGAGATATTTTTTTCAAAAAAACTATATCATTTGAACCAAATAATAAATTGGAAGTTGTTTAAAATTGTTTTCGGCATAAGAAAAAGTTGTGTATAAAAAATATTTTTACAAAGAATGTTTTTGGCATTTCAAATTATCTGAGTTCAAAAAACAAATAAGTCAATATATATATAGAAACTATCCGAGCCAAAAGTCCACATAATTCAACCAAATTCCCACAATTTTAAATAAAAATGTGCCAATCAAAAATAGAAAATTAAAAATACTTTTGGCTCGAGCCAAAAGTATGGAGCAAAAAGTACGGTCATCTGCCCAACAACGCATTGAGCATTCACATTTTGATATAATGAACCAATCACAACATTCAATTCAAGATACAAATCTTGATAGTTTTCATATATCATTGTGTGTATCTCAAGTGATTGAAGGTGAACACGAATATCAACAACCATCGGAATGACCACAAACATCTTTTTTTGAAACACCATTTGAGTATCAAAATCGGATCAATGATCTGTTGAACACCCACTTATTATTAAAACCAAGACATAATATACATCAAAATGTTGTTACCCCGAGAGTGATTGATCTACTTGATCTGAACATTTGACAGACTCAGATTGTTTTACTTTAACGGGATTTAGTCGTAATGATTTTGATAAGTTGTTTGAATTGTGTTGAACCAAAGGAAGTAAAATTTCAATTGTCATAGACAATAACGAAATTAAAAGTGTAGAGTGGAAAGATGGTGTTAGAAACATTTTAGTTGGTGGGTACAATAAAAACAATGTTTTAAGCCGAATGAACTATTTCTCATACTATTAACAATACTTCACACCGGAGATGCATACAACCAGATATATAACATGCTAAATATTGGTTGTAAAGATCAAAGTCCAAAATTACACATTAGAGAGCACGAACAACGAGAATACTCATAAACAGAAAAATTAAAATTATGGGATCTTTATAAAAAGCTTTGCAATTGTTTGTGGATGCCGCTGTTCAAAATCTAATACTTGCTGTGGCAAACTACAAACAGCTTAAACTTCCTTTTACTGAAGGAAGAGATCCTTCCTTCCTGCAACATTTGACTGGCCTTGACGTTTGTTATTTTGCTGTTGATGGCAGACATCAAAAATGTACCAACAAAAAAATGATTAGTTCTGGAAGAGAGGTAGTTGTTGGTTCTTACGATTCACAAAATTTTAAATCTGCTGGAGTCAAAACTGGATGTATTGTTAATTATTTTGGATAAGCAGTTCACTTAATAACGTCAGTCCCATTAGCTTGCACTGATATAAAAATTGAACAATTATTTCATAACGACTTCATTGATTTTTTCAAAGAAACCGCGTTGGGGGATAGTGGTTATTACGGACTTTTTAACAACATTTTCGTTGGAAAAAGAATTGTGGTATAGAACCTTCATTAATAAAAACACGCAACTCTTTTGTTAGTAGTTGAAGAATAGTCGTGGAAAACCACTTTGGTAGACTTGTGACTCTTTTCAAATTGATGAAGGAAGAGTGGAAACTCGACGTGGAAATATACAACTCATGTGTTTTGATGTGTCATTCTCTGACAAATTATCATATACTTTTACATCCTTTACGTCATGTGCACTTCTTTTGGTGAATTCACAATACAATCTAGATGGACAAATTCGAATACCAGCTGCGGCTAGAAGGTGTATTGAATAGTTTATAAATCAAGATAACGACATAACACAGGCTCATTTATTGTCTCCACAACAACAACTAAACGAAGAATAAATGTTAAATTATATTGAAGAAGTTTTTGAAATTGGTTCTGATAATCTTGATATCGAGGATCTTCCTATTGCTAGGCAAAGAATGCTTCAAAATGAATTACTGTAATTATATTTTTATTTAACTTTTAAATTTAAATGTGGTTTTGAATTATTTAATTTTTATATTTCTCATAGTTTAAATTTTGAAAAAATCGAATTTTGGTACAATTTATTATATTTCTGGGATTTTGTACTTAAATTAATAAAAAAAAGTAAAAAAGTGAGACGCATATATATATAATTTCGGGACGTTTGGGTACCAACCCGTTACATTGTTTGTTCGACCTTCACAGAAAAACGCCCAAGTGACGTAACTTACGGGCGCGTTACGTAACATTACGATTTTGTTGTCCTTTCTCTTAAAAATAGATTTACGTTTCTTACCATTTTTGGTGTACTTTTTTTCACTTTTTTAAACCGTTATTTCCAATGTAATCAATGGGAAATACACCCTTTTGACGATTATTTGGTCTCTGATAATTAATTGGTCAACTGTATATAATAAGTTAAATGGTTTTAAAACGGAAAATAATGGTGTTTCTGTTTTTTTGTTATTTGAATTCGTCATTTTTGCTTATAAACTATTTTTCGGCGACATAATTACAATTTTCTTACCAAAATAATCTTTTTTACTGTTTTTTATAATTTACCAATTATAAATAACACATTTATTATTAAAAACAATGCTTTTTTTAATAAAAAAAAACAATAAGACATCATTACTTATTAACCACCG